GTAATCCAGCCTACTGGAAACAAAAGAATGGATAAGAATCTCCAAGTCTGCCCTGGACACAATATTTTTAATTTTGGCAATATTTTTCAGATGATAAAAAGCTGCTGATGTTACCGATCCAATGTGGCTATTGAAGTTTAAGTCAGAGTCCATTATTACTCCCAGATTTCTGACCTTATTTAAAGGCCCCAGGGAGAGAGACTGAAGGTGACAAATGACGGTCTCTCTTTGTTTCTCGGGACCAAAGACAATCATTTCGGTCTTGTCCGCATTTAGCTGGAGAAAATTGCATTGCATCCACTCACTGATCCGCTGGATACAGCGAAGGAGTGAGTCCACCGGTCCATGCTCTCCTGCAGTCAGTGAGACATAGATCTGAGTGTCATCAGCGTAATTGTGGTAGGACACTTTCATACTTTGAATTAACTGACCTAATGGCAGCATGTAAATATTGAACAGGAGAGGTCCCAGAATCGACCCCTGTGGCACTCCGCAGGTCAGGGCCATATTATCTGAGACATAGTCTCCAATCTCCACACAATACTTCCTTTCTTCTAGATAGGACCTAAACCAGCTTAGGGTGGTACCAGCAACACCAACCCAGTCCTCCAGTCTCTGCATGAGAATCTCATGGTCAACGGTGTCGAAAGCGGCACTCAGATCTAACATGACTAAAACTAACATGACTAAAACAGTACACATTTACAAGTTTTCTCACCCAATCTAATTTGTGGTGGACATGAGTAATTCAGCTCAATACGTTTCCATTTAGCATCAAATTCTGATGAACACCAGTGTACAATGTTTCTCAGTTGGGCAGCTCGAAAGTATTGTTAAATTTTTTTTTTAATCTAGCAGTAGTGTTTTTAATCTGACTCTGAATTTTGTACCTTTCCAAATGAAGCTGACTAATTTGTTCCATTTAGCAAATTGAGAGTCTGGTATGTTTATTGGGAGAGACAAGAACAGATAAAGTAATCTGGGCAAAATAATTATTTCTATGAGCTCTATTCGTGAACTGAGATCCAAAACAAGGGCAGACCACTTTGTGAGATCTTTTTGAATTACATCATTAATGTTTGAGTAATTAACTTCGTATAATGAACTTGTTTCTCTGACCTTGTTTGAGTCCCACTGCAGTTTGTATTCCTGTCTGATTGAGTCTATAGGGCTATAGTTAAGACATAGTACTTGAGTCTTGGAGATATTTAATTTATACCCAGATTTTCACCAAAGTGTTGTAGGATTTTCATGAATTGGGGGAAAGTAGCATCAAGGTTCTGGAGGTATAAGATTATGTCATCGGTAAAACGTCCTATTCGATGCTCCTCCTTAGATATTGTGACTCCTTTAATGTCATCACTTTGCCGTATATGCTGAGCTAATGGCTCAATAAACAACGCAAATAGCGCGGGGCTTAGGCAACAACCCTGCCTCGTACCTCTAGAAAGCTCAAAGCTATCAGTTAAGTCACCATTTATTTTTATTCTGGCCATTGGCCTGTGGTACAAGGCCTGGATACAATTTATAATGGCATCACTAAAGCCCATTCTTTTCAGAGTAGCAAATAGAAAAGTCCATAAGACCCTATCAAATGCCTTTTCGGCGTCGAGACTTAGTATAGCTGTCGGAATATTTTGTTTATTAATTTCATTCATTATGTGCAATGTGCGCCGTATGTTGTCTTGTGTTTGTAGCCCCTTTATGAATCCTGTCTGGTCTTCATCAATGAGATCTGGAAGAAAGAGCTCAATTATTTTAGTAATTATGGAGGTGAATAACTTGTAGTCTACATTTAAAATAGAGATGGGGCGGTAAGACTCGCAAACTCCTTATTTTTGCCTTTTGGTATAACTGATATTACGTATGTCCTCCTTCCAAGATGGAGGGGTTTTTGCCGAAGTGTCCAATTGAAACATTTTAAAATGATGCATATTAGATTGTCTTTGGGATTAGGATAGCCATCACTACCTGGGCTTTTATTGTTCTTCCCTCGTAATTGGTTTAGTTAAAGATTCATTTTGGATGTTTCCGATAGAAGGGAGATCAACATTGTTCAAATAATCTACTATTTCGTCTGCTGCTGTTCGGTTTTCCTGATCATATAGAGTTTTATAATAGTTTAGAAAAGCCTTTTTTATTTGTCTTGGATCATTTCAAATTTCCTTACTTACTGGATCTCTAATCTTATTAATTGAATTCCGTACTCGTAGTGAACGCAGACGTTTAGCCAATACTTTAGTCGCTTTAGGACCTGAGTCATAAAAAGTTTGTTTGGTGAATTATTTTCAATTTCTTCGTTTGCCGAATATATCAATTGTTTTCTTACATCTCTTATGCTTTGTGCCATAGTATCACTAGTATCTAATGCTGTTGTTTTTCAAGTTGCCTCAATTTTGTTTCCAAATTTGATCGTCTCTGTCTTTTCCTCTTATTAATATGGGCAGTCCTTGATATCAACTTCCCTCGCATTACGGCCTTGATAGTATCCCATATAATCCTTGGCTCATTCTCATCATTCAGAAAGGCCACAACTGTGGCCGCTCTGACAGCTCAGCGAACGCGCGTGGTCATGTACCGAGCGCGGACCATAGACGCGCGCACAGAACCATACACACGTGCGCGTTACGTGCATATTGCACGTGCGGGTCTTGCCTGTCACCCCCGTCTCTTCCCCGTCTCTCCCCCATGCCTCTCCCCCGTCTCTTCCCTGTCTCTCCCCCATGTCTCTCCCCCGTCTCTTCCCCGTCTCTCCCCCATGCCTCTCCCCCGTCTCTTCCCTGTCTCTCCCCCATGTCTCTCCCCCGTCTCTTCCCCGTCTCTCCCCCATGCCTCTCCCCCGTCTCTTCCCTGTCTCTCCCCCATGTCTCTCCCCCGTCTCTTCCCCGTCTCTCCCCCATGTCTCTCCCCCGTCTCTTCCCTGTCTCTCCCCCATGTCTCTCCCCCGTCTCTTCCCCGTCTCTCCCCCATGTCTCTCCCCCGTCTCTTCCCCGTCTCTCCCCCATGCCTCTCCCCCGTCTCTTCCCCGTCTCTCCCCCATGCCTCTCCCCCGTCTCTTCCCCGTCTCTCCCCCATGCCTCTCCCCCGTGTCTTCCCCGTCTCTCCCCCATGCCTCTCCCCCGTCTCTTCCCCGTCTCTCCCCCATGCCTCTCCCCCGTCTCTTCCCCGTCTCTCCCCCATGCCTCTCCCCCGTCTCTTCCCCGTCTCTCCCCCATGCCTCTCCCCCGTCTCTTCCCCGTCTCTCCCCCATGCCTCTCCCCCGTCTCTTCCCTGTCTCTCCCCCATGTCTCTCCCCCGTCTCTTCCCCGTCTCTCCCCCATGCCTCTCCCCCGTCTCTTCCCCGTCTCTTCCCCGTCTCTTCCCCGTCTCTCCCCCGTCTCTCCCCCATGCCTCTCCCCCGTCTCTTCCCTGTCTCTCCCCCATGTCTCGCCCACGTCTCTCCCAAGTCTCCACACGAGGCGCAGCCAAAACTCACTGATTTAAAGACCTTATGACGGGTTTGATTTATTTAGAAATACAGTTTTAATACCATTTTATATTAGAAGAGAACTACTAAAGGTTTCAAAATCAGTTGTTGTTTTTTTTGTCTGATCCCCCCAACTCGAAATAACCCCATATACATAACTACTAGAATGTTACATTTTGTTGTGATTGAGATAGTTCAGTGGTTGTGTCAATGGACTGCCAATCTAGACACTGGGGTTCAAATCCCACGTCGGACACTTTTTCTCAAAACGACAATTTATGTGTAGTGAGCAATTGTCACCTGTAGAGTACAGTATTGTGTTGGGCATCAGTGGAGAGAAGAGAGAAAAGGCATTCCTGTGGCATAGATCCATGGTTTTCAATGCATGGGCGTAACCCGCTATGACGTCACACACAGGTTAGAGCATAGACAACTTAAATTCATGAAAAACACGTTCTTTTTATAAAATATAGGATTTTTTTTGCCGGAATCTCTTTCAAATTGACATTGTCATGCAATTTTGATATCCACTATTTTTTTTAAAAAAAACCCGTCATAAGGTCTTTAAAGCCCTAAATTTTCGCTTGCAAATGCTCGTTATTTGAGCAGAAGTAAAATGTTGTGACCAAATCAAACAGAACAAACCAAAACAGTCTCGTTTATTTTATTTTACTTAAGAAAGAGCCCTGTCAGTCATTATTTGACTTTTTGGGCCGAGAGTGGATTTTTTTCAATAATTTTTTTCACATAGTTAGTGCCATTTATTTGCCAAACTCTTTTTGACTTATTGTATTGAGAAACATGTGTTAGTCCCACATTATTATTGGTTGTTTAATTACCTTTCCTGTGTGGAAGTTGTTTATTCTTTTTATTATTCTACTGAAGGATTATAATAATACACTGCATTTTTATTGTCAGCTCTGAAATTATTTTGAAATTATGTTTATATCTGCTCCAGAGGCCGAGATATCAATCATTCTGTAGATGTTGAATTTCAGCTTTAAAAAGAAGCAAGTATAAAATCTCGATTAAGACCCGCGCGACAAATGAGTACCAAACACCATGTCCTGGTACTCATCTGAGTTATGTGCACCCCTGACTATAATTAATGCATTCTTGTATTTCTTTTCTAATTTCCTGTACAACGTTTTCTTTGTTAAGAAGGCCAATGTTTATTCTCCATTATGTTTTACTTTTTTCATTTTGCAAGTGTATAGTCAAATTTATGGCATTATGATCAGACAAATCTGCTATTCCAATATTACATTCTATAACTCAATGTTTGTCCATTCTGTTCATCAGAAAAAAGTCAATTTGTGAATGAACTTTGTGGGCTGCTGAGAAATGAGAAATGAATCTCTTTCCAGAGGGTGCAGGTCTCTCCAGACATCACAAAGGTCCACCTCCTTCATGAGTGAGTTTAGGGCTTTTGATTTATTGTTTTTGGATCTTTGATTACTTGTTGAGTCTTTAACGTGATCTAGGACAGTGTTCCAGTCACCGCCACAGATTAGTATCCCCTCATTCAGGCGTCATGCGCGCTTCTGTAAACGGCAACGCCATCCTGCCAGTGAACTCGTATGCTTGTGTATGGCGTTTGGAAGCGCACGCCTCTCTCCTTCATTGCCTTCTTAATCACTTTATACTCCTCGCGCCTTTGGACAATCTCTGTAGCATAGTCGTGATCAAAGTATACAACATTGCCATTCAGCTGAATCCGCCCCATTCTCCAAGCCTCTCTCAGGATTCATTCTTTCGTGGTGAACTCCTGGAAGTTCACTCAAGTTTCCGCAGTCCCTACTCGCTCTTTCAAGTCTTGTATGCCCTCAGTCACCGTATCCAGTTTGTTGCTCAGTTCCTTTTGCATCCTGTTTATATTATCTCTTAGCTTTTCGTTGTCTTCTTTTAATTCGGATTTGAGCGACTCAATAGCCCGAAGCAGATCGCTCGTGGTGACTCCTGGCCCGGTTGCGCTCGCGTTAGCTTGATCTGCTACAGGGTTAGCAACCGATGGTGCGCTCTTTTCTTGCTTTCTATTCGGCATTCTGTAACTTCTTGGCCTCTACACGTTCCTATTATCTTTGCCCAAACTGAGTCGCGTGTTATTGAGTTTAGGTGGGAATTTGTTTTAAATTAGGCAGCAGCTACCACGCTTTGGCTCGTCTCAGCTCGCCATGACACCGGAAGTCCCCCTTAATGGAGAATTTGATTCCTTTCCTTTTCTGTAGAGCCATTGTCCTGTCCCCTATTGCTCAAGGGGATAATGTCAGAATCAGAATCAGAATAGTTTTTATTTCCACGTAAGTAACAGGAGGTCACAGACTTGGAAATTGCTTTGGCTCAGTGCAAGAGTCAGAAAGATAATAAAAATAAAGAATCAAAATAAAGAACAAAAAACACTTCTATGGAATAAATTAAAATTTAAAATAGAGTTACAGTTACTATTTACAATATACAAGTGCACACAATATAAGGTGACAGCAGTACAGTGAAGTAAAGTGACGTATGATGTGACTTTATAAAGGGCGGGGGGACAGGTTAAGAAGTGTTCAAGAGTCCAACAGCAGAGGGGAAGAAACTGTTCTTGTGGCGGGAGGTTCTAGTCCTGATGGACCGCAGTCTCCTGCCTGAGGGGAGTGGTTGGAATAGTCCATGTGCAGGGTGAGAGGGGTCGGCTGTGATACGACCAGCCCGGCCTCGAGCTCGGGCGAAGATGAATGTAATGTTGATCTTAGACATGACCATGTCTTATTTTTTGTGTGCTATTCTTTCCAGGACAGACACTGCCTTGAGACACATTACTGATCTTTATTAATCATTTAACTATACAAACTGGGCTTTAAATTATGAACTTTACATAAAATTATGAACTTTGACCTATGGAACAATCTTGATATTGAACTTAAAATATTTGGATATAGCAAATAAATGCACAGTAATATGACTGCTCACCGGTGAATGTCAAAGGGGGTAGGCTATAATAAGCTTTGCTTCTGCCTACTCCTTTTGGGCATCATTTTCATGTGCACATTTATTTATCTTATGTAATGTTTATTATCTCGCTTTACTTGCCACGCTGATCTGTACCTCAATGTCCACCTTCTGAAACAAAGATGCTCAAATAAAGGCAAAAACAAAATGAAACAAAACTTAATTTTTTTTTTTTTTTACAAACACAGAAAATAAAGTTACTACAGTACATGTTTATCATGTATTATGGTATACAAGTATTATGTTCCCTGATAAAGACCATGTAGGTTGGACTGTGTGGGCATCCCTCCAAAAAAATCAATGATCTTTAATCTCATTGCAATGCTGTGCAGTTGAGCGCCACCATTCTCTGGTACCTTCTGCCTTCTATATGTTATTATTAGGTTTTGTTTGGGCTATCCTCAACCTGCGAAAGGCTCAGGTGCAGATCTAACGGTATTTGTTGTCTTGCAGAAAGGCGTCCTCCTCAGTGTGTGCACAGTGGGACACAGGGGCCCAGTCTGGTTCTGGATCCTGGTTTTAAGGTTGGCATTAATCACTGTGTATCATACAGTGCCAGTATGAGGGACATGATGCATTCTAATGTGCTGTTGTGCTCTGCAGTGTGCTGTGCAGGTTTGAATGGGTCTGCAGTGCACTCGAGACAAAGGAGGTGCAAGAATGTCTGGATAACTTAAGTAAATCCATTCAGGTGAGAGAAGGTATCACATCCTTGCTTTATCATTTTTATGTCTTATATTATTTGAGACATTTGCTAGATCCTCTTTGCATGGCTTCACTGGGAAGCTTCTAATACATCCTATGATATTTTGAAACAGAACTCTACTGCGCAGCTGTATGCTCCATCAGTGGATGAGATCAAAGTGAGTTGGGTTTCATATGAGCACTAAGGCTTTGCCAGAGGAAAGTCAACAATCACATGTGTTTCCAGGAGAAGTGTGAGCTTCCCTCACTCATCTGCTACATGCTGGAGCTGAAGGTGGTTTTCCTCGAAGAGGAGGATCTTGAGAAGCATGAGCAGGACAACATAGACTGCGTCGCTGCTTTTAGCGAAACACTGCAAAACATTGCCATCACTGAGCTCAACACAGTGAGTGACCACGCCTGCTTCTATGCTGTCTACTGCTGACCCAGGCGTTGTGTGAAACTGGGCAGCAGGATGTGGATGCTTACAGCCTCACAGAAATGTTGTGTTTCAGGGGCCCTGTCCTCCATGTGAAGCCACTGCACCAAGAAGCATTACTACATTCCTGGACAATTTAAAAAGTTTAATGCAAAAACTAAACTCTCTTGCACCTTGAGAGAGAGGGGGGGGGGGGGGGGGGGGACTTAATGCTTAGGCCACGTACTGCTTCTTCAGGGTATAATCACATCATATACGGGATGCCCTCAAGGTCCTACGTCCTGGTTCTGGTCCAAACGCGTAGGAAAATCCCTGTTCATGTAATTCAAGAACTTTTATCTGTGCCTGTCTCAGTCTGATCCATGTTGTTCACTGCTGATCAAGCTGCCTTGTAACCCCTTAAACCAGGGCTGTCTAAACCGGTTCAGAAAGGGCCGCTGTGGCTGCAGGTTTTCTATCAGACCCAACAGAAGCAGAGTAGACTCCACCCATTTCCTCAAGTGAGTTCAGTCTTAACCTGAAGATTTGAGGAAATGGGTAGAGTCTGCTCTGGTCCTGCTGGGTCTGATAGAAAACCTGCAGCCACAGCGGCCCTTTCTGGACCGGTTTGGACACCCCTGCAAACACTCAATGTAGCACTTTGTAAATAATGAAGCATGTTCTCTCAATTTATTGAATGTAGTGTATATATAATACTACTGTAAATATGTGTAAATAACATTACTGTGAAATATGTAAAGATGTTTCTATATTCATTTACATTCAACAATAAATGTTGCACTCTCACCGTCTTCTGTGAAGTCGCCTAGTCTTCTTGGAGTGATTAAACTGATATTACAGGCAAGACAGTTGAGGCTACCGCTATCCAGAGACACATTCCAGTCACTTATCCTCCAGGGGCCGTATGCCTAAAGATTCTGAGAGTCCTTTCAGAGAGAACATAAAAACCCCAAACTAGTTTAAAAGTTATTCCAGAACATTCCTAGAGAACTCTGAGCAAGGACTGGACAAAAGAAGGATCTCTTACTTTTAATCGTATTTGCTCATATTAATTGTCATGCTGGTCATTTCTACTCACTTTCGTGTGACAAGGGTAACAGATTGCTGACCAGCCTATAAGAAGTGTGTCTCATGGTTGACTTTTTGATATACCACAAACGTGATTCCTGCACGATCCAATCTGTAGCGTTTCACTAAGTCATCCAGTGTCTCTCCTGTCTCTTCTGTTCGCCATTTTGTCCTCTTAGGGAACTTTTAAAGAGTGACTAAACAACAAATCAACTTTTTTAACTTATAAACTGCATAAATATGTTTATTGTAGTGCTTTCTACATATCCTGGTCATTTTTTTTTTGACATTTTAGTGCAAATTAGATAAAATCTCACATTTGATCCTAAAACGTCTGTGTGTCCCTCTCTACATTTTCGGTGGTACTACATTTGAATTTGGTCCTGGCCCCTCCATTGACTCTGTAATTCTGTTTGACGTTAGTTTGTATGTGTTACATGCGTCTGTCTGCGTCTGCGCCAGTGATATAAACCCATTCAACCCTCACACACGCCCCAGAAGCAGGTTGGAGTATTCTGGCGACATCTAGTGGATTAAAATTAAATTACATGAGTTGACAACCACTGCTGCTGAGATAATTCTGTGGAATAGGTTCAGGTGTGTAGCTTTACAATTGTCTTAGTGTGTAAACAAGGGTGGAATGAGACTTTCTGGTGTGTAAACTATTGCTTTAAGCACCAATGACAACTGTCTGTTATTTTTTTTTTCGTGTGACAAGTGAGCTGTCAATCCCAGCCCAGACCACCCCCAACTCTAAGCCCCCCTTCTTGTCCCTTGGTCCTCCAGGCAACGCCCTTCTAAGAGAAAATGTTCATGTGGGCAGAGTAAGGCTGGGCACAGGTGTTTAGTCGCTCTTAAGTCCTCCTCTCTACTCTTAAGAGAGCTCCTAAGGTGAGATCTCTTAAGAGCTAAGATTCTTTAGGAATAGTTTTTTTCTTTAGTAGTATCTTCACTTTTAGAGGAAGTTATAAGAGTGCGTCAAGATTGTAAGAATATTCTTAGAATTTGGCCAATAGGAGCAACTCTTAGCACTAACAATCTTTAGGAATACGGCCCCTGTATTATACTAATAATACCATTACACTAATGGTAAACAAAAGCACACAAACACAGCACCAACATGGGAGACCATTTATATTTCTTTATTTATAAAATGCGACACTCATGCACCACAGGAGGAATATTTTACCAATACAAACTCCCTTTCAGATAAAAAAATATTTTCGGTCCCCTTGAGCAGAAACGCCACGCACCACTGTCACAGACAATAGGCTCTTGGTACTTTCAGATATAACCAGGGCGATAAAAAGTCATCGATAACTATTCTAGTATGCACTATATACAAACTTGAAAACATGAAAAGGCTATGAGATTTGGTTTAAATACCCCCAAAATATTGTTAAATAATTCAATAAAACAGCTAAGCGTGCTGTACAAATGTCACCTTTTCATGATAAAACACATTTGTCTGAAAAATATTGCTAGTTGCAGCTCGAGAAATAACAAATTCCAACCACACAATAGACACTTGTGTGATTAAATAAGTCTGAAGTGTGAGTCACCGAAGCAAACTGGTTATGGTGGTTAATTCAAAGTTGAGTTCACTCATAAATCAACACAGCTTTCAAAGTTTCGACCAGCTTTGACCAGGATGGAGTTTCTGAATGTAACCCGAGGCCTCCCAATCTCACACGTGAATAGCAGATTGTCGCCCCAAAATAGATTTTATATTTACTCTGTACACAAACAAACACACAGACACAGACACAGCAGTAGACACAGACGCAGCTTTCATGAGTCCACTTTCCCGTAGGTCCCCTCCGGTGGCCTGTAGGCTTTGGGGAAGGCCATGAGCTGCAGCATGTTGAAGGCGTACTTCCGGCAGCGAATGTTCTTTTGGACGTTTTCAATGCGACATCCTTCTCTGGTGAATCCAAACAGAGGAGCAGTGTGAAATAAAAAGAGTGGAAGTTGTATAAGGTTGGTGATCAACTACACTATCTCATGAGAAGTTGGGTGTACTCAAAGTGGTATGGATCTTTTATAGGACTTTTTATGCATTTATGTTAAGACAGCTGGTCATTGCAAAAGATAAAGTGGTCTGAAGGTCAAAGCAAAGGCTATTGCCGATGTGGCAGATGCTTCCGTATTTTTGCATGGGTATATAAAACGTTTGAACGCTGTGAAACCTTGGGTTGTGTCGCTTATACCAACAATAAAACTTCTGCAGAATTATCTATTTTCTTCAGTAGCATACACTCCAATACTAAATAGCAATATGAGTATTACTAGTTAACAAGGTTCTCTATAACACCTGAATACATCACATGTCAGCAATATGCCAAGTCCATATATGACAATTCTGGAAACATCTGATTGAGGGTCTATCAGAGTTTATTTATGTGTAGATTTCTGCCCCTTTCTGACAAAAGTTGTATATTGGGAATATACTGAGATTTCCAAATACAAAGAAGGAAAATAAATTACTGGACTTTGGGATATTGCATGTCAGGAGAGCTATACTGGAAGAAGATGGAAGCTCCTTCAATACAACTTTGGATTTTTCAGAACTAGACTTGCCTCAGTCTTGGATCTACAGCCTCAGTCCTGGATCTACAGCCTCAGTCCTGTATCTACAGCCTCAGTCCTGGATCTACAGCCTCAGTCCTGGATCTACAGCCTCAGTCCTGGATCTACAGCCTCAGTCCTGCCTCTTAAGCCTCAGTCCTGGATCTACAGCTTCAGTCTTGGATCTACAGTCTCACTCCTAGACCTATAGCCTGAGTCCTGGTTGTACATCCTCAGTCACGGTTTTACAGCCCGAGTCCTGGATCTACAGCCGGTCCGTTGTGTCATCCTGCTCCCTATGGGCCTCATGTGTCCTTTGTGTAATCTTGAACATTATATTAAAATAGCAGTGTTACTCTATTTTTCACCTTGTTTATTTATTCATTTATTTTCGTGTGTGCATTGGTTACACTCTACAACATACGAGGCATAAATGGTATACTTCAGGTGTGTGTGTGGACAGATGCATGATTGTGTGTCTGTCTGTGCTTTGTTTTCGTATCCTGTGGTTTACGTTAACAGGAGCAGATTGTTGATTAAATATAAAAATGATTGTATATATTACTAGTGTTGATGCCCACACAATGCACTTTAGATTCACGTCACAGTCTTTACCTTGTCCCTACCCGACTTTACCTTGAATCACTCGCATCTCAGAGCGTGGATGTTAAAAGCGTCCGTTCCGTCGAGGCCATAATTCAACTTATAGTACCTCTAAGTGGCTTGACACGGCATCAAATGGCTGCTTAATACTGCTGCCGTGAATCAAAATGTATGTTTTTATTTGACAGCCCAAGATAATGTTTGCAACAGGAACAGAGAGATGTTCTAAAAGTAGACACACCGACTTTTTTTGAGCTTTTAACCATGTTTGTCCCTCGCAGAGCTGAGATGTTTTTAGATCCATACATGCTAATATCAGGAACTTCTGTCACAAACTCCTCCCCTTCTGTCTAAAAGCTCCTTTAATAGTTAGTTTTAGTTTTCAATTTTCTGTCATCTAAAACAAAAAAATTACCCATAAATTAGATTTGGCAATTTATCAGGTTCTTTGCAATAATTAAATGGTCGTGTTTGCAGTAAGTAGTTTTCAAATTAGGATAAAATATACCTCCTATATCTCCCTCCGGTGGTAGCATAGAGATTGTGCAGGCCGATACCCTTGATACTTATTTCACAATATATTTTCTACTGAAAATATTATTATCATCATTTCACACTCTAAAACATTTATTTATTTATTTATTTGTTTCAATTGTGGACAAAAACAATACTGCACATATTACAATTAAATTTCAAATAATTGTCGTCTTGTCGCACAAATGAATGGCATGACAAATTAAATAGTCTCTTAATCATTTTTAATAACCAAAAATGATGCGCAAAACTTTAAAGCTGGGGTACCTAATTTTCAAATACACCCAAAATTAACCTATGTAATAACATTTTTGTAACTAGTTCCTCTTAAAACTGTTTGGATTGTTTCACGAGTATTCACATGCTTGTATTTGTGGCCTCTGTCACATCTTTAGATTATTTTTTTCAGACAAAATCTGGTGGACTGATGTCTGCTGTTCTCGCTGGTTTAAAACAACCTGACAAAATTATATATGCAGTTAATTTTGTAGCAGTCACTGTGTTGTGTCTGAATTCTTTATAACACAACAATTCGGATGTAATTATGAGCTACCATAGATACTATCCAATTATAGTATTTATTTGTCAAAAAATATCTAGCAAAACCATTGTGACCAAAACATCCCAGCTATAATTATGAATATGTAAACTTTGGGAACGTGATGCTTTCTTTTGGACTTTTGCTGCCAATATTATGCAGAGAAGAAAGCTCGGTAAATACAGTAGAGTCATATCTTTGGCACTCCATAAAGACTGAAAGCAAAATAATAACTTTGGCCCTGTTAAGCTGATTAAAAGGTTTCCAGACAAGGTGCCAGGTTCATTAGGACTGTGAGCATGTCTAATTACCTGTTATATAATTATACACCCTCACATCACTTGGGGATACTGACCCCTGCACGGTAATTACCCACCAAGCAAAACGCAGAGCCTCATCCATCAAAAGCGGAGAACAAAGCAGAGCGAGAAGAGGTCGCCTTATCAGCAATTTATTGATATTTTGCAAGCAGAAAAACAAGACTTAAAATGAGCCACACCACCAGTAAGTGGGAGCTCACAAGCAGCAGGGCAATGGGGTAAAAGTGACGCGGCGCTGGTTTAGGCCCCGTCCCGGAGCCGGCCTCGGGGTCCTCCCACTGCCCAATGTCTCCCAGGGTCGGCCGGCTGCACACGGACACACAGAGCACAACACACTGTCGGGTTAGCCTCAGCGGAGGGCGTGGAGCAGCGGGATGAAAGGTGATGGGAGCGTTGTGGGCCAAAGCACAGGGAAGTATGCGGTGGTGCCGGGAATGAGTGAGGTCAGTCCATATAGGGATGAAAAATATGACTTTTGGACAGCTTTGACCATGTTTTACCCCTTTTCCTGGGTTCGTTTTACAGCCATGTGAGGCAGCTAGATTCAAGCCTGTCACAGTAACAACTAGTTAATCCATTACTTGCAATGAATTGATTAGAAATAGTGGTCAAAGAATGTAGTTGATTCATCTGTTTTGGAATCTTACATTGTTGCTCTATGCTATTGCACTTAAATAGTTTCTTCAGGAATTGGTCAATTAGGCTAAAATACTATCGAGCCAGAGCTTTTTGTCACAATTGTGTATCACTTGTTTTAGCATTGCATTAAAAGTCTCCCATAACTTTTCCACTTGGGGTCTGTGTTGCCACCTCACAGAGAGAATGGGCTTTGGGTCAAAGGGTGTCTCTGTTTGCATATGAAGAGCAGACGCCTTTTTGGCCCTGTTCCGACCAAGGCTGAGGCTGACTCAATATCTGAATATATATAACCTCCTGCTGTATCAGTGAATGTATCACAGGACTGCAGACTATCACATTACTGAACTGGTCTAGCCTGTTCACACAACATAACCTGAACTATTTGGGACTCAATTCTCACAACTTCCTTCAAGTTAAGTCTCAAGCTCCAACTCAAACTTGTTTTTAATGTCTTGGCTGTACATTATATAATTTTATATTTTATAACTTGAGAATTAGCCATGAGTGAGTAAGTAATCTTTGTTTATATACTGCCTCTCACAGACCAGAGTCACAAAGCAGTTTACAATTATGGGCGTTTGTCTCTCACTCCACACAGAAATGGGAGCGGGGCCAGTACAGCAGCCACATGCCAGACCTATCGTACATGTCTTTAGTGGTAGGGGAAACCGGAGTACCCGGAGGAAAACTACGCAAACACGGGGAGAACATGCAAACTCCACTCAGAAAGGCCATGTTCCGACCAGGATTCGAACCCAGGACCTTCTTGCTAAGAAACGAGAGTGCTATCCACCGTGCCGCCCTGAGTGATAAACATTGTCACTCCACAATTTCCACCCTGACATTTTTCAAGTCATTTAAAAAAAACTTTTGATGTGATTATTATTGAATCAGTGAGAACCCAGCCCAAAGTATCCAAAAGATTACAGGGTTTCTAATGAGATGAAGACAGCACGTCGTGGTCTTTCTACTTTTTACTATACTCTTTCTGCTGGGGCAACATTACTTCATAAGTTAAAAGACGGTGAGACAGTGGCTCAGTTGGTAGAGCATCGGCCTTTAGGCCTGAAGGGTGTGGGTTTGATGTCACCTTCTCCACCAACTCCCACTGATGATTGCTGTCGTTGTGTCCTTGGGCAAGACACTTAACCCCACTTTGCCCAAAGCCCCCACTGAAAGATCAAGGCTATGCTCACACTCAGAGAGCAGCCGTCCTCCTGTGGACTCACCACCTGCAGAGGGTCAGTGAGGGGCTGGTGCTATGAGACTTGGGTGGCATCTCTGACTGTCACCCCCCTGACCCAGAAATGGATTAAGGGGTAGAAAATGGATGGATGGATGGAAGTTAAAACATGTTTTTCTTCCGCTCTTATGCTGCGAGGGAAAGGGCTTATAGCCGACTACCTGCCACTACCTGGGCAGCTTTCATCTCTGTTTGAGGCTGAAGCAGGATCTTTCACCAGTACAATTTGTTAAAGGAGCTATACCTGTTTCTGTGAGGTTTGAATGTTTAGCACCGCCCCCCAACTCGCTCACAGGCTTCTCATTTCCCCTACGCTCTCATCCCACAAAGCCACATCTGATACATATGCTAACATTAGCATTAGCGCAACTTCTTGTAAGCTGTACAACAATCTCTGATGAAATGGTACTAAAGCAACGCACTGCTAACACAATATATAAGTAAAAGAATACCGCTAGTTTCGCGTCTGAATATATTAATTTAAACATTAGAATGTATTCCAATATTTAATTATAATTTATTATACAGCTCCTCACAGCAGCAGCAGAACACTCCTTTGACTTTAATGTAATTTCAAAACGTTCTACCGATCATCTTTTCTTGATAACAGAACTCTCAAACCAATAATGACCGCTGCCCTTTGGCAACGCAATCTCTGTTTGTAATTCAGGTGTAAAATACTAACATTACTCCGCAAGTACAACGAGCTTTCAGCGCCTGTCACTACTTCTGTCTGTGCAGAGAAGCTAGCCGAGCTAGCCACGCTCAATAAACAAATACCAATCAATCAACAGCTTTAAATGGTAATCGGGGAATGTATTATACATCTACATCCTTAACACACGTGCACGGAACTTTTTAGAATTTGTTAACGTTTTCATCACAAAAATACTATTTTAATGTGACAAAAAGCGATCGCGATAAACCCGGAAGTAACCATTAACATGAAACGAAAATTTTAGGACACCTTACAAGAGGATCTGATTATGGATTTAGGTTCGGTATATAAATGGATAACTCACCGCTGATGTAGTTCCAGAGTTTTTGAACTAGCTAGCTTAGCTGTTAGCCGCCTAGCACGTTACAGCGAAACCTTTGGGAACTAACTATTCTATTTGCAGTCATTAAATAAATTTCGAATTATAAGGGCTGTCTAATATTCGTTTTAACTTTAGAATTATATTCAAATTTCGAAGTCAAAGCCCTAGTGTTTAGCAGCGCTGTAGAGGCTAGAGGACGCAGGCTCTTCGCTCCTCGTTCTGTGAGTGGAGTAGAACGGCCCGCTAAGACCTTACTCAGCACTTTTCATGGCCTAAATTCATACACAAGCTGAATCAATGAGCTCAAGTTTTCAATTAAATTACGGATTATAATACAAATTGTATGTAGTAATAAGCATTCTTATGAACTACTTAGAAAAAAAATCAGGTATAGCTTCTTTAACTGTTCTGAGGAAAAAACCACGTTGTTGGTTTTTTGTGTAGTAATGGAAGTTTTTTTTGCATCGCGCCTGTCATTTATAATGAATTGTTTATGAAAAATACAGTAATTGTCTCTATATAAACACAAAGCAATAGAAGCTATAGAATCGCAAAAGAGTTCAGAGTCTCCTCTATAAGAGTGCAAAAGAGAAAGTCTCTGTGGGAGAATCTGTCTACGACATTGTCTGAAAGTGGTATGTTCCTCCTCATCTGCAGACCAGCTGGAGATCAAGGCACTCAGCTCAGAGCACAGTTGAGTGAGTTTGTCCTCGTCCCCTTGATGACTTTCACTGTTGGCGCCCGAATGAGGCTATAAACGTTCACTTTGCTTTTTTTATTTATTTATACCTGCGTCAAATTCTGCATTTATATATTTGTCCCCGAGATAATACATCAATGCTCAGAAAGGGGAGTCGAGAAGGACATAAGGCAGTTGCTCGGGCAACCTTCATCTTCTGAATCTTACTGGTGGTTATTATGCCATATATTTGATTCAAGACTCACTTTATGTTACATTACATTTGAGGTTACCATCGTCGCATTTTGAAACCATTCAGTGAACCAAGTTTGCATGTGTGGTACATCACAGGAGGAGCTGAAATATATTTTGTGTCTGGATTTTTGGTTGATACCCAGGGATGTGATTTAGGAGTCGGCTTCAGCTCTGGCAGCTGCACATGAGTTCTAGGTAATGTACTGTGTGATGTGGAGGCTCTGATGGGCCCATGCATGGCAGAGATGACATGGAGGCACACATACACACTACAGATGGACAGGGATGTGGTCAGAATCCACCTTATAACAGCGACTGTTCATTAATGCAAGTAGTAGGTGCAAGCTATCATACATTGTTTACCTAAACCATACCTATATTACAGTATGAATGGTAGAAACATGTCTAAGGTTGTCAATAGCTTTGATTATTAGAACTACAAAAATGTACGCTCTCTCATCACAATTGGAAGAAGTAACTGACGTGTGCTTTCAGAGTAAAAATCTAAGGTGTGTGTTCAGTGTGAATGGGGCAGCTGGGCTCACCTCCGCATACAGTTGAGAGCAGGGGTAAAAAAGTCCTTGCTGAGCTGGTGTTCGTCTCGCAGTAGGGCACATTGCTCTAGTGTGACAGACATGGACGTCCGGTCTTTGGCACTTTTACAGCTGGTGAACCTGACGCCGTTCAACCTCCGGCAGATCTGAGTGAGCACAAGAGACAAGACTTTATCACAAATAACGTTATACAGAAGAGGTGAAATGGCCGGGAGTAAGGACACCCCTGATGTAGACTAAGGCTGGACATGGATCTACAAGTGAAACAGGTAGAATATTGTTCAAACCTATATTTGCTTCTGTAATTCAACTCAGACTCAGTACACACAAAGTGAGACTATCTTTTATAATGTCTCAGTCCCCTGTCTACATCCTCAGTCCTGGATCTACAGCCTCAGTCCCCTGTCTACAGCCTCAGTCCTGGATCTACAGCCTCAGTCCTGGATCTACAGCCTCAGTCCCCTGTCTACAGCCTCAGTCCTGGATCTACAGCCTCAGTCCTGGATCTACAGCCTCAGTCCTGGATCTACAGCCTCAGTCCTGGTTCTACATCCTCAGTCCTGGATCTACAGCCTCAGTCCTGGATCTACAGCCTCAGTCCAGGATCTACAGCTTCAGTCCAGGATCTACAGCTTCAGTCCAAAATCTACAGCTTCAGTCCTGGATCTACAGCTTCAGTCCTGGATCTACAGCCTCAGTCCTGGATCTACAGCCTCAGTCCTGGATCTACAGCCTCAGTCCAGGATCTACAGCTTCAGTCCTGGATCTACAGCTTCAGTCTTGGATCTACAGCTTCAGTCCTGGATCTACAGCTTCAGTCCTGGATCTACAGCCTCAGTCCTGGATCTACAGCTTCAGTCTTGGATCTACAGCTTCAGTCCTGGATCTACAGCTTCAGTCCAGGATCTACAGCCTCAGTCCTGGATCTACAGCTTCAGTCTTGGATCTACAGCTTCAGTCCTGGATCTACAGCTTCAGTCCTGGATCTACAGCTTCAGTCCTGGATCTACAGCCTCAGTCCTGGATCTACAGCCTCAGTCCTGGATCTACAGCCTCAGTCCTGGATCTACAGCCTCAGTCCTGGTTCTACATCCTCAGTCCTGGATCTACAGCCTCAGTCCTGGATCTACAGCCTCAGTCCAGGATCTACAGCTTCAGTCCAGGATCTACAGCTTCAGTCCTGGATCTACAGCTTCAGTCTTGGATCTACAGCTTCAGTCCTGGATCTACAGCTTCAGTCCTGGATCTACAGCCTCAGTCCAGGATCTACAGCTTCAGTCCTGGATCTACAGCTTCAGTCTTGGATCTACAGCTTCAGTCCTGGATCTACAGCTTCAGTCCTGGATCTACAGCCTCAGTCCAGGATCTACAGCCTCAGTCCTGGATCTACAGCTTCAGTCTTGGATCTACAGCTTCAGTCCTGGATCTACAGCTTCAGTCCTGGATCTACAGCTTCAGTCCTGGATCTACAGCCTCAGTCCAGGATCTACAGCCTCAGTCTTGGATCTACAGCTTCAGTCCAGGATCTACAGCTTCAGTCCAGGATCTACAACTTCAGTCCTGGATCTACAGCTTCAGTCCTGGATCTACAGCTTCAGTCCTGGATCTACAGCCTCAGTCCAGGATCTACAGCCTCAGTCCAGGATCTACAGCCTCAGTCCAGGATCTACAGCCTCAGTCCTGGATCTACAGCTTCAGTCCTGGATCTACAGCTTCAGTCTTGGATCTACAGCTTCAGTCCTGGATCTACAGCCTCAGTCCAGGATCTACAGCCTCAGTCCTGGATCTACAGCTTCAGTCTTGGATCTACAGCTTCAGTCTTGGATCTACAGCTTCAGTCCTGGATCTACAGCCTCAGTCCAGGATCTACAGCCTCAGTCTTGGATCTACAGCTTCAGTCCTGGATCTACAGCTTCAGTCCTGGATCTACAGCCTCAGTCCAGGATCTACAGCCTCAGTCCCGGATCTACAGCCTCAGTTACAGCCTCGGTCTGGGATCTATAGCCTCAGTCCTGGATCTACGGCCTCAATTCTGATTCTACATCCTCATTCCAGGATCTACAGCCTCCGTCTGGGATCTATAGCCTCAGTCCTGGTTCTACATCCTCAGTCCTGGATCTAGATAGATTGATAGAGTGATACATTATTGATCCTCGTAGGAGAAATTAAGGTGTCCAATAGCAGCAGAAAAAAAAAGAAGAAATTCCAGGACTCCAGCCTCAGTCCTGGATCTATGCCCTGTCTGTCTGTGGGAGAAAATCCCTCGCTCAATGTGGGCCTCAATTGAGTCACTCCTCTAACGCTCTAACGATGGTGATGATCCAGTGTTAATCCAAGAAATGTGTTGCATTTCCTGTGTTCGAGCTGTTTGACCTGATCTGTTGTATTCGTTGGTTTGGGCTGTACAAAAATTTGTTGAATTTAATTTAATTAAAAAACACAAATAAGACATCTCAGAAGACATAGAACTTGTAATTTGCCATGCTAGTGCTATGGGATATGCTAGTCCCATATGAACCAGCCCGGACTCTGAGGAGCGCAGGGACGGGACTCCTGTTAGTGCCCAGAGTCAGGACTAGACAGGGGGAGGCTGCTTTTCAGATTTATGCAGCTAAAGTCTGGAACAGTCTTCCTGAGGATGTGAGACTGGCTGCCTCTCTGTCAATGTTCAAATCCATGTTAAAGACTTTTCTTTTTTCCTGTGCATACAACTAGAGAATTTTATCTTTTTAACACACCTTGTTATTTATTGTTGTAACTTTTTGTGTTTTTAACTATTTTATTGTTTTTAATTACTTGTGTGATTCTTATGTTTTTAAATTACTTATGTGATTTTAATGCTTTTTAATTACATATGTGTTTTTAATTGTATTTTAATTATTATTGGAAATTATTGGTGAGCACGCGGAGTGAGCACGCGTTTTTGACGTCTCTGCTCTGTTTACCCTTTTAAGCCTTTTAAAGCCTTTTAAACACGTTTTTACGGTGTATTAGTGTCTTTTGTACACTCTAGTGTTTGATTATCTTAAATGCAATGGTTCCAGAGCATCACGTCTTTTAACACAAAGACCCAATCGAAACGCGCTAGCTCGGAGGCTACCACGAGCGCACCACAGACATGGAAAGTGACACTGCAATGACCACGAACGACATTAGTCGCCTCACATTGGAGCTTCGTGAGAGGGACCGTGCCACTATTGCAGACCTCCGTAAAGAAGTCCTTCGCCTCACTGCAGAGCTGCAGGATAAACAGTCACTCGTGTCCAAACTTTTTGATGTCGCTGGCGGGCAGCACTCACGGCTTATGTCACTGAGCGCTGCATACTGTGACACTGTCGTGTGGGAGAGATCTGTCAGCTCTGCGCCCTCTTGTTCTACACCTAAGTGCCCGGTTCGGAATAAAGAGCCTGCGGACTGCGAGGAGCCATCCAGCGCCGTGGCCCATGTCCTGAGCCTGTCAAACCGCTATGCAGCCCTCTCCGCTGACATTCCAGCCCCCTCAGCAGAACCCCTGGACTCTGCAGCAAACTCTACTGCTGTCCGTGGATCCAGGTCCACTGCGAGAAAGACACTCTTAAAGGAAGCTGTCCTCAGACGAAAGAGTGATCATTCCCCTTCGCTGACCCCAGTGCATCACCACCGCTTACCTTCACCGGGTCAGCAGCAGCGACCCGAGCCTGCTCCTCTCGCTGCTCCAGCGTCCCCGAGCACACAGCGTGGGTTGCCCGGAGCTGAGAATCAACACCCCCACTCCTCTCCATGTGTTCAGCAGCGCCCTGGTTCGGACTCATCCCTGGATGAGCCCGCTGGTTCTGGCCATGGACACCGAGCGCTCTCTCCGCGGCTACGTCCACTCTTCGCCCCGACTACTTTGATTGTTGGAGATTCCATCGTGAGACACGTCCGCTTTTTTAACGCGGTCACTCAGTGTTTTCCCGGAGCCACTGTACCAGACCTGCTCATCCGTCTCCCTCCTCTGCTTCAGTCCCTGCCTGATACCATTTCAAAGGTAATCGTGCATGTGGGGATCAACGACATGAAGTTGCAGCAGTCCGAGGTCACAAAGAAGCATTTTATGGATCTATTCCGCCTCCTCCAGTCCTTCGGGTTGTGTGTTTTTATCTCTGGTCCAGTCCCGACTGTAAACCGGGGTGACTGCCTCTACAGTCGCGTTGTGGCGCTGAATATGTGGCTCCAGTCTGCATGCAGCACTTTTAACTTTGTTTTTGTGAACAACTTTGGCCTGTTCTGGAAGCGTCACGTGGCCTATCGTCCAGATGGTCTGCACCCGAACAGATACGGTACCAGTTTATTGATGGACTTTTTACGCCATGTTGTTCAGTGCTCCCCGAGGGGGGCGTGACTGTTTACATCCGAGGCCTCTCGGCCCCCACTACCACCTTCCTCCTCCACTCCAGCACCGGGTGAGTACTGTGGTGCAAACACTGACCCCTGTCCGTCTGGCAGTGTAACGACAGTCCTGCCACTGAACGGTGCTTACTCAGTCATGCATCTGGAACTTAACAAAGTAAAACAGAGTTCACTTTTTAAACCAATAGAGACTGTGTGTGTTCCTCGCACCGGCTCAGAAATGTGTTTTAATTTGAATAAACACAAATATAACAGAAGGACAGCAGTTAGACGGTCCAACTCAGGAAATCTAATTCCAATTCTTTGTAGTCAATCAACTAAACCCACTGACACTGATATTATTTTTAACCTTGCTCTGCTTAATGTCAGATCACTATGCAATAAATCCTTTTTAATTAATAATTTTATCTGTTCTTATGATCTTGACTTTATGTTTATGACTGAAACTTGGCTTGACCATAATACAGAAAATGCAGTTTTAATAGAAACAACACCACCAAATTTCAAATTTGAATCAGAAATTCGAGAAAATAAAAGAGGAGGAGGCACAGCAGCAGTTTTTAAAGATTGTATTGTCTCCCATAGAGTACCTCTTGGGAAATTTTCCTCATTTGAGTATGTCTCTTTTAAAATAGAACAAAAACAATCTTCTATTCTTATTATTGTTGTGTACAAGCCGCCACAGTCATGTCATACAGTAGTTTCACTGATAATTTCACCGAGTTGCTTTCAGTTGTGTGCACAGACTTTGATAGTTTAGTCGTCATAGGTGATTTTAATATACATGTAGATAACGTTAATGATAGATACGCGAAAGAGCTGAGCTCTGTGCTGGAAACCTTTGGTCTCACTCAGCATGTGAGTGGCCCCACCCATAGCAGAGGACACACTCTCGATCTGCTAATTACTAAAGGGGTTAATATCTCAAATGTAAATGTGGCCAATGTTGCTCTGTCAGATCATTTCTGTGTATTTTTTGATATGTGTCTCAATAGTAAAGCACGAGCTGAATCCTCAATTGTTAGAAGAAGAAGACACATAAACAAAAATACAGGTGAACTTTTCATGGGGATGATAAACTTTGATAACACGTTGTGTTCTACTGTGGATGAATTACTTACTCTGTCACCTCTAGTGTTTTGGATGTTCTGGACACGATTGCTCCTGTAAAGGTCAAAATTGTTACAAATAAGCAAAAGGCGCCATGGACAAAAGCAGACTCTGTCAGGGCACAGAAGAGAGAGTGCCGGAGAGCCGAGCGGAAGTGGCGAAAGTCAAATCTCCAAGTTGACCATGAGATCTTCAAAGATGCATTGTGCAAGTTCAACAGTGTGCTACGTAGAACGAGGGAAACTTATTTTTCCGAAACAATCGAAGGTTGCAGTAACAATCTACGCGTTCTGTTCTCAACAGTAAATAATTTGACAAATCCCCCTGTTAAGATGCCATCAGAGCTTACCTCCAAAACCAAATGTAATGAGTTTGCAGAGTTTTTTAATGACAAAGTCCAAGGCATCAAAAATGCCATCACCTCCACAGTAGAAATTACAATCCAACAGCCAGTGAAGCTTTTTGGGCTGACACACTTTACACCAGTACAAAATGAAACTGTCCAAATGATAATTACAAGTCTGAGTTCTTCTACATGTAGCCTGGATGTATTACCTCCTAGATTTCTTAAATCTGTTCTGAGCAGTCTTTTACCTTCACTCACGCATATAGTAAATATGTCTCTTGAATCTGGAACATTCCCAATGGCCCTGAAAACGGCAGTCATCAGACCCCTCCTAAAAAAGAGGAGTCTGGATGCCTTGGCACTTAAAAGTTATCGGCCCATTTCAAATCTGCCTTTCATGGGTAAAATTCTAGAAAAAGTTGTCTATCAACAACTTACAGAATTTTTTATAATCAATCACTCTTTTGATATGTTCCAGTCTGGTTTTAGACCCCACCACAGCACAGAGACCGCTCTAGTGAAGGTAACAAATGACATCAGACTTAACACTGACGCAGGAAAAGTCTCAGTTCTTATCCTGTTAGATTTAAGTGCTGCTTTCGACACTGTCGATCATGGTATCCTCATTCAGAGACTTGAGGACTGGGTTGGTGTTTCTGGAACAGCCCTAAGCTGGTTTATATCCTACCTACAGGACAGAAAGTATTTTGTGGAGATCGGAAACTGTATCTCAGACCATCTGGCCCTAACCTGCGGAGTGCCACAGGGCTCAATCCTGGGGCCTCTCCTGTTTAATATTTACATGCTGCCTCTGGGTAGGTTAATACACAGTAATAACGTGTCCTATCACAATTATGCTGACGACGGTCTATGTGTCCCTGACAGCAGGAGAACATGGACCAGTGGACTCGCTCCTTCACTGTATCCAACAAATCAGTGATTGGATGCAAAATAACTTTCTCCAGCTAAACACAGAAAAAACTGAAATTATTGTTTTTGGACCTCAAAAACAAAGAGAGAACGTTATCTGCCACCTCCAGTCTCTCTCCCTAAAACCCTCAACTCAGGTCAGAAATCTAGGAGTAATAATGGACTCAGACTTAAATTTCAATAGCCACATATCATCTGTGACATCATCAGCTTACTTCCACCTAAGAAACATTGCTAAAATTAAAAACATTGTGTCTAAAGCAGACTTGGAGATTCTTATCCACGCATTTGTCTCCAGTCGATTGGACTACTGCAATGGCTTGTTCACAGGTCTCTCTAAACAAGCGGTAAAACAGCTGCAGTACATCCAAAATGCTGCAGCTCGAGTCCTGACTAGAACCAGGAAGTACGACCACATTAGTCCGGTCCTCAGGTCTCTGCACTGGCTTCCTGTGGCTCAGAGAATAGACTTTAAAGCAGCTTTACTTGTGTACAAGTCTCTCCATGGCCTCGCACCAGGGTACATCCGCGACATGTTGGTGCCATATGAACCAACTCGGGCTCTGAGGAGCACAGGGACTGGACTTCTGTTAGTGCCAAGAGTCGGAACTAGACATGGGGAGGCTGCGTTTCAGATTCATGCAGCTAGAGTCTGGAACCGTCTGTCCGAGAGTGTGAGACAGGCGTCTACTCTAGCAGTTTTTAAAACTGAACTGAAAACAGTTCTTTTTAGCTGTGCATACAAGTGAATGATTTTATATTTGTTTTTATCTTTAATCTTTTTAATGCACTATGATTATTTATGATTATTTATGATTGTAATCCCTTGTGTGATTTTAATGTTTTACGGTTTTTAACTACTTGTGTGATTTTATATATCTTGTGCTCTTAATCTGTCCTTTTATGTTTACTTAAATTCTAATGTTTGATGATTTATGCATGATGTTATATGGGTTGTGAGGCGCTTTGCGTTGCCTTGTGTAGGAAAGGCGCTCTATAAATAAACGTTGATTGATTGATTGATATTTTAATGGTGATGATTTGTGCATTGTGTGGTGTGGACTGTGAGGCGCTTTGTGTTGCCCTGTGCAGGAAAAGCGCCCTATAAATAAAGATTGATTGATTGATTGATGCATTTTAAACAATATAAATCAATGGTAGTTAGACTTAGAATACTCACTGACCTTGGTATAAAAAAACTTAAAAATGATCTTATCTTATTCTATAATTTGTGTGAAAAATGACAGAGCAGCATCAAACATAATGTCAATACATTTTTCCCACGCTGCACTTAGGTTACGTACTTCAGGGCTTCTGTTCTACTCCATTTAACAGCAACGCGTCAGAAAGTATCACAGCGCTTATGGATGACAGTGAAGCATGGCCTGTGGGATGTCTGCTTTACATCAAGGTCAACAAATGTAAGGAGTAGTCTGAAATACACACCGCCCCGGCTAACCAGAGGATCTCCACATTCTTCCTCTTCTTCGTGACTACATTCTGGCCCAAGGTTTCAAGTAATTCCTTTATATCGCGATGTGACTGAAAAGAAGGCAGACCTGTGTGCAGAAATGACACATACAGGAAGGGGTTACAGAGGTTAACATAAACAAGAATGAAACAGGTTTTAAAGAGCACATATTATGCAGATGCAGATTAAAGGGGAAGATAACAACATGACATTCTGCAGAACTTTAAACATGAGAATATTTGACGTGAAATGTTCTAGGACGTGAAATCCTAGGATTGGGGAAATGCATGTATCTACAATGGCATAATCAACTTGCAGTTGCACAGAAATCATATCACAGGAGCAATTCCCCCAATTTAGAATTATCACATTATTTTGAAAAGGCAGAAATGCATGACATAGTCCAGTTTGAAAACTATTTGGACAGAGTGGGCAGGTAGACAACAGACAACACTAGTGGAACTTGGTCAAAAGGAAAAAAAACAAATAACAAAAATGTATAAATGTATACTTTGGGCTCATGTATGACTGAAACTGTTGTCTGCATTTTAACCATCCTAAATAATACAATATTATCAATCTACATTCTTAATTGATCTTAAACAATTTGATAGAAACTTCCCCTTTCACTTAAGTGCCTTCAATGAACCAGACATGTCCATGGGCTGACCACAAGGGAACTCTTGGTTGGCTTAAGGCTGTTCTGACATTTTGAAATGAGGTCCGTATTGATTCACATTTGGCAGAGCTGAAGTTGGCTGTTTAATTTCTCGCTAGCTACTGTACATTAACGCCATATAAGACATTACTCAACAATACACAGTATCACTTTATTGATTAAGACATGCTTTATTGATCCCCCATAGAGAAATGGATTTAAACCTGAGTTTGACCCATTCGAAAGTCAATGTTCGGCTTGGTCAGTACGACCGGAGCTGCAGGATTTTACATGTTTCTATGGTGGATGTTTTTAGTGGAAGGGGAAACTGGAGCACCTGAAGGAAACCTACACAGGCCTGGGGAGAACATGCAAACTCCACCCTGACCGACATTCAAAACCAGGACCAGATTTGGCTTCTCTCTGCCACTCTTGCCTCTCTGAAGTTGGCTGGATGACACTGAACTTAAGTTTATGATCGCAATGGCTACTTTGGGTCAGCACTGCAAAGGGCCACATAACATGAGACATCACCTCATCTCAAATCTGTGTTGTTTGTACATCTTGCTCTACATTCAAGGAGCATCCATCCATCCATCCATTTTCTTCCCCTTAATTCAATTCTGGGTCGGGGGGTGGCAGTCAGAGCTGCACCCAGTACACAGAGCACCAGCCCCTCATTAAAGGAGCAGTATGTAACAATCTGGCCAAAAAGTGGTACTGCACTCTCCATGACTGAGATTGACAAATCCAGCTGAGACCATGATATCTGAATAAAGAGTTTTGTCAACAACATATCTATAACTAACACCTTTTTCACAAAGATAGAAATCCTGCTTTAATTCCTTGTTTTGCCATTAATGATTTGAGAATCATAACAAGATGTCAGTTCTGCAACCTTTACCAGTGAGATTAGCTGTAGTGAGTTCTGGCAACATGGATCACAGACTTTCTGATTGGTAAAACGGTGGAGGGCGGGACATCCAAATGAAAACAATAAAAAGTTGCAGAACTACTGTCATCAGTTAAAAAAATATTGGAAAAAAAACATGGTTTATTAATGCCTTTTGACAGATTAGGGCCATTTAATGATGACTTGACATGAAAATCTTACATATTGCTACTTTAAGTAAAGACAAAAAGGGAAAAAACGTCCAAAAAAGGATTTCACTTACATTCTAATGGCACCTTATCGCTTAATAATTTATAATAGGCTTCTAAAATCTCAAAGTTCTTCTGATTTATTCGTTCTTGCAATGAGATATCTCCAAATCTGTAAGCAAAAAATATTGAATCATTAACTCTATCGCTGGGCAAAAAGAATGTTTATTTTGTGTTTCTGTACCTCTCTGCTATGGTCTGCTGCTCGTTGATGCCCACGTTGAAAAGCAGGGGGTATACCTGCACCGGCTGGCCCTCTCGGATCTCTTCAGGCAACGTCTGAAAAACCTGGCACGGCAACGGCACTTCCACAGTAAAGTGGTCTCTGAAAGATAAGATAAACTTTATTATCCCACAGGGGGAGGTTGTTGTGGACACAGTGCTTAAAATCACACAGTACACAAATTCACAAACTAGTAAAGTATGGCATCCGTTCTGAGACAACCCAACCTCAGGGTTAGACTTTATTGTTCATCAAGTCCACATAAAAGCACTCCCAAAAAGGGCAGGATTCAATCCACTTATTTGTATAGTACATTTGATAAACTTTTTCCAAAGTGTTACCAATGAATTCACTCACACATGAAATCTTAATAAAAAACAATGAAAGTAGCCATGAATTAAACATAGAAATAAATACTAATAGAAAACCTATTATTATTATGTTATTTATTTATTGACTTAATAAAATACATATATTTATTGATTATTAGTGTCATGTATTATTATGTGTTATAGATTGATATTCTGTGAGGGATCAATACATTGTCTATCAATCTATAACAAATAATGATATATAACACAAGTAATCAATACATATATTTATTAAATTATGCCAATAAATAAATTAGCAATAAAAACAATAGATATTCTTTATAACCAAGAGAATTGCATGCTAAAATACGAAATGCCATGTCAGCAGCGACAAGAGCTGTATTGATAAGAGCTGTGTTCAGAAGCACGGCTAACCCCTTCAGAACTGTATTGGTGATATTAGAAGCACGGCTAACCCCTTCAGAACTGTATTGGTGATATTAGAAGCACGGCTAACCTCTTCAGAACTGTATTGGTGATATTAGAAGCACGGCTAACCCCTTCAGAACTGTATTGGGGATATTAGAAGCACGGCTAACCCCTTCATAGCTGTATTGGTGATATTAGAATCATGTATACATAATAAAATCATTAAAATAGCTATCTGAAAAAATAAAAGAAATATTAACATATGCATATTTTCTAAACAGGATAATTGCGTGCTAGACTATGAAATCAGATGAAAGCAGAGCAGACCCCTTGCTGTGTGTGGGATGCTCGGTGGACAATCGGTGGATGCAGTGGCCTCAGCACTAGGAGCATGTCCCGAGGCAACCCCAATAACGCAGCATGTGACCAGCGAGCGCCGCAAGAGACCAAAGTCTGGGTCCAAGTTAAACCAGAGATAATAGCATTGGAAACAACTCACGCCGAACGACTTCCAATGTGTAAAGTAACTTGGGTAGCACAACCAAACTCTAGAAACCCTTGATTCTGAATTTGGAAGCATGGCTAAGCACTTGTATTAATAAAACAGAAGCAAGGCCAACCACTCAAAACCTCCATTAGTGATTTGTGACATACTATGAAGGAACACTTAGTATGCCACCTGTGGAGAGAAGTGTCTAATAATGTTTCTCTGGATTTAAGATTTTCCAAAATACAAAGTCTGACCGGAAAGTTTTGCCCAGTATGACATCACGGCTGCGTAAAGCTAAGTCACTGGTCACATTTGCAGACAAAGGAGTTGACCCAATATAAGAAGGGTTTTTAGCAGGAAGGCAAGGCAAGGCAAGTTTATGTGTATAGCACAATTCATACACAAGGCAATTCAAAGTGCTGAACAAAATAAGAAAGCATTAAAATCATAAATAATCACAGAACATTAAAAAGAAAGATAAAAATATAAAATCCCTCAGTTGTATGCACAGTTAAACAGAACTGTCTTTAACCTGGTTTTAAACATTGTCAGAGAGGAGGCCTGTCTCACATCTTCAGGAAGATTGTTCCAGATTTTAGCAGCCTCCCCATGTTTAGTTCTGACTCTGGGCACTAACAGGAGTCCAGTCCCTGTGCTCCTCAGAGTCCGGGCTGGTTCATATGGGACTAACATGTCACTAATATATTTTGGTGCGAGGCTATGGAGAGACTTGTACACAAGCAGAGCTGTTTTAAAGTCTATTCTCTGAGCCACAGGAAGCCAGTGCAGAGACCTGAGAACTGGACTAATGTGGTCGTACTTCCTGGTTCTAGTCAGGACTCGAGCTGCTGCATTTTGAATGTACTGCAGCTGTTTTACAGCCTGTTTGGACAGACCTGTGAGCAGGCCATTGCAGTAGTCTAACCTACTGGAGACAAATGCATGGATAAGAATCTCCAAGTCTGCTTTAGACACTATGTTTTTGATCCTGGCAATGTTTTTTAGATGGTAAAAAGCTGCTGATGTTACTGATTTGATGTGGCTATTAAAATTTAAGTCTGAGTCCAGTATTACCCCTAGATTTCTGACCTTGTTTGAAGGTTTTAGGGAGAGAGACTGGAGGTGACAGATGACGCTCTCTCTTTGTTTCTGGGGACCAAAGACAATCATTTCAGTTTTGTCTGCGTTTAGCTGAAGGAAGTTGTTTTGCATCCACTCACTGATCTGTTGGATACAGTGAAGGAGTGAGTCCACTGGTCCATCAAACTATAGCTATGTTGATTTGTTTTCGTCCTCTACTATTGTGCGTGTGTGTGTCTGTATTCAATATATAAGAAATAGTCAGTGAACAATTTCTAAATATATTGTCATTCAACTCCAGTGTTGGGCACGTTACTTAGAAAAAGTAATTAGTTACTAGTTACTTCTTCCAAAAAGTACTACTAACTGAGTTACTCCACTATAAAAGTAACTAGTTACCAGTAAAAGTAACTATTGCGTTACTTTTTCGTTTCGTTCTGGAACCTAATGTGCACTTGACGTGCACATTTTACCTTTAACCTCAGTGAGTTTGAAATATGATATGATATTTCCATCTGCTGCTGGAGTCCTCCTCACTCTCTGACTCACTGACTTCAATCAGATGAACATATATATCATATAAATCAACAGGACCTACAGAGCGGCTTATTCACAATTTGTTTGGCTACAGCAGAATATGTTTAATGCCCGCATTGTTTGCTCAAAACACAAAAGTGTGAAAAAGCACATTTAAAAGTGTGTTATGGGACTTCCCCTAACCATGACCTGCACAGACCAGTTCAGACCTGTTTCATGTTTAAGTCCAGATAATAGTTTGAGCGTGGATATGTAATCCTCCATTTCAAAATAAGTCCAATGAGTTTTTAAAAAGTAAAAAGTGCAGCCGAATCTCGGGTGCATCCAATTTCTAAACACAAATACAACTAGTTGTTTGCTGTGCACTGAGCCTCGTTGTTTTTGCTAATTGCTTTGCAGCGTCTCTGCAGCATCTCCGTCTAAACGTGGCCCAAGTCGAGCATCAAGCCCTAGGACATTCAGGATGGGTCAAATGCAGAGAACACATTTCCTTACAGGGACAAGTATTATCATGCAAATAAAAAAACAAAGGCTTGGCATTTGTCATGTTGTGATGAGTCCATAACATATATTCGTTTCACATTTGAAGTGGAATTCCAGAAATAAATGAACTTTCGAAAGTAATTCCAATCATCCAAGTTTCACCTAGGTCGAGATAAATGGTTGTAGTAGAAAAGAGAAAATGGGTTGGTATTGATTTCCAGATTTCAGCTGAAGTGAGCGTTTGCGTTTCAACACAGGTCTGTTCAGAGTTGGGGAATGGGACAGCTTCATGTTACTGTGTCACCAATGAAAAGTAGTGTATGTGTAATGCAGTCCTACCTTTGGCCACATACTAATGGTTGGAGGTCACAGAGTTCTTCAGACTTCGCTTCAGTGATCTTGAACACCACTTTGCGCAAATCTGTAATTCCAACCTCCATGTCCTCCAGCATCCCTATCTCCTCACCTGGACACATGCCAACATACATCATCTTTATGCCACGTTGTTAAAAAAGGTTTATGGAAAGCTATGTAAACAAACATTGATTGACTGATAGAAAGCTAAACATTTTAGAGGAATCAATCAATCTTTGAGACACACACACACACACACACACACACACACACACACACATTCAAAGTCAACGAAACAAAGACAGGAGATGCCTCTGCGTGCCTCAAAAATTCAAGTCAAACTGAATTTTGTTCAAAAGTTCATTTATTTAAGTATTCTAAAATGTGAAACCGTCTAGTGGCATATGTGCAATCATTTTTATGATCATGGCTTGCCCTCCATGTGTTTTCGTAGATGTTTTATTTGTTATTTTAATAAGCTGCAAGCCTGATTATAACACCTTCCCTTCTCTTAGCTATTGACCAGATGCATCAAACGTCATCCAGTCACGTGATTGTGAATGAGCTTACGGCGAAAGTAGTGGAAACTAGCATTGCTGCGAGAGCAAAACGGACTACAACTCTTAAAAACGGAGCTTCCTCTCCTAAATCGAGAAGTGGCTGCTTCAAGCAATGTTACGTTATAGGTGGAAGTAGGACATCAGGTAAGGGCTCACAAAGAGTGGTATTTTGAGAAGTTAAGGATTGCCTAACTGGATGTTGACCCGTACCTTCTCCCCCCAGTCAATTTTATTGATTAAATAAAATGTCTATTTTGGCCCAAATTCACCCTACATGATCTTTATCATTATCGTTAACAATGCATCCCCTTACACTGGAGCAGATTTATATGTACATTTTGCTGGTAGCATTAGCAATAGTCCACTTTTCTGTGGCTTTTCTGTCTACAGCCAAACATGATACGTACTGACGGAGAGGAAAATAGTGAAACACGCAATTGACTTAAAAGATACAAATGTCAATGTTGCAGCGCACATACAGGACAGTAGTAAGAGACATGTTTGACGTGTGTTATTGTCCTCCAAATTAATGGAAAAAAAAATAAAAACAAACTTGTGATTGCTTTATCTTGTAAAAAGTGTTCACTGCATATTAGGGAGTACTTGGATGGGTCCCAGTCCTTTTGGTTGATTGCCGCTGGCCATCGTCGTCTTCTGTCTTCATGACGAGCAGGTATCAGATAAAAAAGCTTATGTCCTTGCCTGTTAGTATAATCAACCACACTGCAAAATGTCACAGTTTTGGCTGTAATTCACTGAAACAGGTTGTTTTGGTCAGGTGTCCGTAGGCTCGCAGTTAGACTTCTGCCGTCTGTCATGGAGAGTGGGCGTGGCCGGGACGTCACATGCAAGGGGTCAATAGCTCAGAATCCACGATGCCGTCAACGTTAACCACTCAAGTGATGCCAAGGGCTGTCAATCATCAGTGCTGATGCTCGCAGCTGCGCTCATGCTCAGTTGTTTGTTTTCATGGAGCCTCCGAATCAAGCCTTTATAGGCTCTGAATTTATGTACTGAACCTATATCCATAATCAGATCCTCTGCAGATGTGTCCTATAATGTGCAATTCATGATAATAGCTTGTTCCGGATTTGCCGCGATCGTTTTTTGTGTGCATTAAAACATAATTTTTATCATGAAAACGTTAACAAATAATTTCAAAAACCTCTGTGCATGTGTATTAATAATGTGTTCTCTGATCAACATTTAAATGTGTTACGGAAATGTAGGTGTAGACCAATCAGAAAGGAAGGGGGAGGGAGCTTCTGAAAGTATTATTTCATGTGAAGAAAAAGGAGCATTATAAACCCCCCGTGGCACAGAGTGTGACATGTTAGCATGGTGATCATGTGGAGGGGTGCAGGGGACTCACTGTAGGTGCTGAGCAGGCTCTCGAACTGAGCCACCAGCCCCACCAGCTGCAGCTGCTGCAGGAAGGCCTTGTCCTGCACAGCGGCATACAGCTTCATGATGAAGCCACACACCAGAGCGGCCAGCTGCAAGCACACAGGGAGCGCATTACAGCTCAGCTCCTACAGGAGGCGTATTCACTAACCACAAATATACTTTTTTTAACATAACTAAATAACCATACAGTAATGGATCAAGACCCTTTTAAGCTCCACACTCAGGAAAAAACACATTTTGAAGCTGGGGTACCTAACTTTTAAACCACAACAATGGAACTATGTAATAGAATCTAACTTGTTCCTCGCTCTCAAAACAGTTTTGTTTTTTGCAATTTTTCACATGGATGTAATTTGTGTTCCAAAGCCTATGGTCTCGTCTCATTTTCAAATCAGATATTTCAGACAAAAAAGTGAAAAAAGAGAACTGCTGGCCCAGCATATTGCTCATCTTCTGTCTACCACACACAGTAGTTTCAGTCCTCATTTATCTATATGTATATAATACACTCAATGAATAAACGTATAAATAGTGATAATAATGCAATCAAAGTAATGAGGGGCCAAAACTTAAGGGGCTCTGCTTCACAAAAAGTCATTGTTTATACAACAATCTGTTATGTAAGAATTCACAGTGAAATTCAATTGGAATTTCACAGATTGTAAACGGCTGTTTTAGACAAATAGAGCAGAAGGGTGGGGGTTAACCCTTGTATTATGTTGAAAAAAAATGACATTGATTATGTTGCGGGTCATTTTGACCCGTACTGAGTAAATGCACTCAAAACAGTCAAGAAAACAGGTTAAACCAATAACAACTTTATTTTAGGTTATATAAATATTTAGAAAAGTGACATACAATAAATGTTTAATTCCAACGCTATATTTAAGAAAGATTTAATCTAATCCTCTTGTCCTCCTCTCGGGTCAAAATGATAATTCTTCCCTCCTTCTTTCCTCCTGCCATACTTTCTCCTTCCGTCTTCTCATCCTCTTTTCCTTCTCTCTGTTCATGCTCCTCTATTCCCTTCTTTTCTCTTCCTTCCTTCCTTCCTTTCTCCCTTCTTTCCTTCCTACCTTACTTCATTCCTAGCATCCTCCTTCCTTGACCAAAGATTCGTCCTCTGAACCTCCTTATCGTAGGAAAATTGACAATCTGGATCAGCAATAACATTGTCCTCTGTCTCTGAAAAATCCTCTGTTTCTGAAATCTCTTACTCTACATCATTATGCCAGTTAAAAATATGTGATAAAGCCTCCTCAGATGTCGTCATCCTTCTGGAACGCATTTTTGGTGAGTTTGTATAAAGCCTAGCGTACATGTACAGAGTAACTGGAGACAACTAGTTGAAGGCGGCTTTTGGCGACTGAGAGTAGATGGAGATGATCAGTTGCCGAAATCGGTCGATGTGAACGCTCTTACAACTGGAGATATACAGTCGATCTCCGGATTCAGTTAGTTGCCCGTGTTCTACTTTTTGGCAACTATTTGTCCTCAGATCCGGAGATATCACCCGATGTGCTCCAACAACATGAGTGTATTGCGTGTATTGCGCCCTCTACAGTTTATGTCAGAAAACACACTGTAGTTGAGGCCAGTTTCTATCGATGTACGCGCTGTTATTCCCCAGACTGGCCTGATACTGGAGTTGCCCGTTTTCGCCACATTGTCGCTGTGTGCGGGGCAGCAACTCAAAGGCGACGGATATAATCAGTTGCCAGTACGATGTACACTAGGCAAAAGAGATGACATCTCAAGGACAAGTGTGAGAAAGTTCCCTCTCTTCACACACCTGGCTCTGGGTCTCAGAGGCAATCAAAATACAATGTAAAAGAGACATGTTTTTTTGGATCTTAACAACTATTTACCCACATTAAAGCGTCTGGGTCAAAATGACCCGCAACATCATCTTTGTATACAAACTCTGCACAGACATTCCACTACACATCAAAGTGTCCAAATTTTACACACCAGTTCATGACCCTAGATGAGGAAAAGTCACCAAATTTCAGCAAGTAAAAGAAAGGATAACTAGTACTTTGATCAACACAAAAACTGAAATGGGTCAAATTGACCCTTAACATAATACAAGGGTTAAAGAGATGTGGGAATAAAGCCAAGAAAAACAGTGTGGGCTCTTTATGTTGATCATTGTTTAATCAGTATCAACTAATATGACAAAATGGTTTTCACCCACCGCCTGACTGAAGACGACGTCCCTGCGCGACTGGAGCAGGAAGCCCTGGGGTACGCTGCAGGCCGCCTCCTGCAGCAGCACAAATGTCATGGCTCTTGTGGCCTTTTCCACCACCTCCTGCACACAGGTCTGTAAGCGGCTCACCAGAGGACTCAGCTGCTCCCTCCAGTCTGCTGCAGAGCACACACACGCACAGACAGACACAGTAGGTGTTTTGCGTAGGTTTCCTCCGGGTACTCCGGTTTCCCCTACCACTAAAAATATGTACAATAGGTCTGGCATGCGCCTCCTGTTCGGCGACCCCGCTCCCATCTCTGTGTGGAGTGAGAGGACAAGTGCCCAAAAATAACAATTGTAAACCACTTTGTGACTCTGGTCTGTGAAAGGCGGTATATAAATAAAGCTTACTTACTTACTTACTTACTTACACACACACACACACGCACATCAATGAATGTGTTTACAAACCATTAGAATATGGAGTACGTTATAAAACCGCGGATTATCAAACTGGTCAGACAAGTTTTGGTCTTATTGAAGCCGTCAGAACGTTAACTTATTACTATGTTAACTTTAAATGTGATGCCTTACAGATTTGCCACTGGATTAAAACTTGGGTGTTGGGGTTAGTCGAAGTAAGTGATAAACTGTATAATACATATTGGAGGTGAAATTGTTTAAGTGTGTGTGTAATGGTTTTTGTTGACTAACAACCACTTGATCTACTTTGATTTTCACGCATGTTCAACTATGCAGCTCAACAGCACAATTCTAGACTTGAAAAAGAAAACTAAATATCTTTAGCAAAAGGAACTCTTTTTCAACAGTATCCTAGATAGATAGATAGATATATACTTTATTGATCCCGAAGGAAATTGTACACTGGTCCCTTGCTCGCAATCATACAAAGATACATACATACGTTAGAATTAAAAGATGCAAAATGGTTAAAAAAGAGAAAATAAATACATTAAAATCATTAAAAGAGAAGTTAAGGCACTGCAAGACAATTCTCAAGACTCCTCCCTCCCTCCTCCCCCCTGCTCCTCCCTGAAGTGGCTTTGTTATAAAGCCTGATGGCGCTGGGGACAAAAGAGTTTTTGAGCCTGTCCTTGGAGCACCTCAGAGGGAGGAGTCTGGAGCTCATGGTGCTTCTCTGGCGGGAAAAAAATGAATTTAGTGGGTGGCAAAGCGTTCTTTGCTCTACCACCTCCTCCACTGAATCCAGACCCAGACCCACCACAGAGCCCGCCTTTCTAATGAGCCGGTTCAGCCTCTCAGTGTCCCTCTTTCGTGCACTGCCCCCCCACCAGACAACTGCATAGAAAAGGACACTAGACACAACAGACTGATAAAACATGTAGAGAAGCTTATCACAGACCCTGAAAGATGCCAATCGCCTCAAAAAGTACATCCTACTCTGCCCCTTCACACAGCGTCCATGTTGGCTGCCCAGCTCAGCTTGTTGTCCAGCTGCAGCCCCAGGTACTTATAGGTGGAAACCACTTCCACCGCAGTCCCCTCGATAATAATGGGCTGCAGAGAGGTTGGTGCCCGGCGAAAGTCCAACACCACCTCCTTTGTTTTGGCTGAGTTTAAAAGAAGCTTGTTCCGCTGGCTCCACTCCACAAAGTTCTCAACCAAGCCTCTATACTCCCCCTCATCACCCCCCCTGACGCATGCCACGATTGCAATGTCATCTGAGAACTTCTGCATGTGGCATGTCTCAGAGTTGTAGCAGAAGTCAGCCGTATAGAGGGTGAAGAAGAGGGGCGAGAGCACAGTGCCCTGCGGTGCACCAGTGCTACAGGTCACTGTTGAGGACCTACAGCCCCCCCCTCGCACGTACTGGGGCCTGTCGGTTAAATAATCCGTGACCCAACGCACAAGAAGAGGGTCCACATTCATGATGGTGAGCTTCTCCTGGAGAAGGATGGGATGGATGGTAAGCACTGGAGAAGTCAAAGAAAAGCATCCTCACAATGCACCCTCCCACATCCAGGTATGTGAGGGCACGGTGTAGCAGGTAGAGGACTGCATCCTCGACCCCCACCTTCTGCTGGTAGGCAAACTGAAGAGGATCCCTCGTCGTCTCCACTTGGGGGTCGCATGATCTACAGGACCAGTCGCTCAAAAGTTTTCATCACATCCTGACCAACAAGTTGAAAATATCAAAATATACATATTTCATATTTATTTCATGTTTTCACCATTGCTTTCACAATGGTGAAAACAAATGGTGGTGGTGCGTGACGGACGCGTCAGCGCCCGTCACTCACCACAACGTGACGGTTGCGTGCGTAAACTCAAACGCTTTAAAATAATGTATCAGGTGCCATTGAAACCTATATTGTTTTTGCTCAAGACGTCAAAAAAAAAATCCTTGTTTATTTATTTATTTATAAAAAGAAAGAAGCTGACCAAGGACGCATTTGTGAATAATGAAGTGCAGGTGATAAAGCCTTGGTGCGGCTCACGATGTCCAGCACACAATGGTGCGTGGGCGTTCTGAGGCCGGAGATGGACCCCAAGGCTTGCACACTCTGTCGCTGAAGTAGTCATGTAGACCACATAAGTAACTCTATCTATACTATAGATATAGTTACTCCTGACACACTAAGCAGTAGTGGTCCATATTGCACATTTTGACATTTTTGCACAATATTGCTACAAATAAGTAATAATAATAAGGTCAGCAGAGTGCATCTGTCGTTATTATTCATTGTACAGTCAGACAGTAGCAGTTAGGAAAGACCTACAGGATCTGATAAGCATGTAACTAGAGCAACAGCAGAAACACTTCGCATAGTCTGCAAAGAATTCTCCCTGCTATGAAAACCAGTTGGTCAACTAAAACAATAATAAGCAAGCATTACTGGAAATGACACGATCGAGAAAGTGACATTCCAAAACACCTAAGATTCAGATGTGTTGGTTTGTAATCTTTTTTTCAAACAAGTCAGGGTGGTTCTAAAACAGGGAGTGTCGCCGCTGTTATGTATTATCTGTTTGAGGTTAAGGAGTCAATGACAAATAATTAATAAATCAAGATCACACACACTTATGGTGCTGGTGGAGGGGCTGGTGCTCTGTGTACTGGGTGCAGCTCTGACTGCCACCCCCCCGACCCAGAAATGGATTAAGGGGAAGAAAATGGATGGATGGATGGACACACACTTATGCAAAAGATAGTATTTAACTTTATAAAAGACCAATGAATACAATAAAAAGATTGGTGCAGGTAAAGGTTTGAGTCTTGGATCCAGGAGCTATTTGACAGTTTATTTTTCCTTGGATATAAATCATATGTAACATTATGTTATGCCAAAACTGAGATTTAATTATGAATTGTTCTTTCTGTTAAAAAAAAGTATTTCAAATGACTGTGGATTTCTGTTGTATTCTGCATCTGCACAAAAGTTTAAAAGTTTGTAATAAGTTTAAGTATGCAAGTCGAGATTTAAATAAAATGATATATTCTTATATAGTACTGATAATGGAATTGTTTCGGTTTTCATTCAAATGAATGTGAATATAATCTTGAGATAATATAGTCTAGACAGCTTTGGGTTGACCTACATCCGAGTGTGTGAGGAGAATAGTTGGGCCAATACCAAAGGGCCTCGTCTGTGTATTAAAAATGGAAATGTTATTTGCCCAATTAGGAAGCAGTGAGGGTGAGAATGGGCAGGTCTAACCGGTGCTTGCTTGGAAAAAATTCTTTCTCTCTCTTCACATTTCAATAACTAACACATTCACTTAAAAGCTGCCCATAAGATTGCACGTGATAACAAGCAGACACCAACAGGAGGCAGTGTTGCTTTACTAAATGTCAAAATCTTCAGCTCAGCATCAACATGTAGCAGGATAGCAAAGGATGAGATTAGGGGGAAAATATACACACGCACACACATATACACGTGCACACCCACACACATATATGCGCGCGCACACACACACACACACACACACACACACACACACACACACGCACGCACGCACGCACACACACACACACACACACGGTGAGAGCCATGGCCTGTCCCCTGCCCTGTCACTGACATCACGTCTTATCTGGTTGGGCAAATAGCAGGGCAGCACACTGAGGCGGGAGGCACAAGTCCAGCTGTCGCCTCTTCACCACTGCACCTGTCCAAACAGCCCAATGCCCACAATGCACTGTCATCAAAAGCCTGCACTCCTTTCCGGAAGATAAAGCCAATGTCATTACTGGTGCCATGTTCGTGTTTAGACAAGCAGATGAGCACTTTCTCTGAGGCAACGCTGCATCTTAATAAGGGAGCCACAGGGGTCAGCTTATCTGTCCAACTCAACAGCAGGCCACACACGCAAATCCAAGCCTTCGTCAATATGCTGTAATTACAAAACAAAAGACTGAACTTGTGAGACAGCGCAAACAAATTAAAAGTCAAGATGGTTCCACTTATTACAGAGGATCAGGATCAAAACTTGATTTCACATTTTACCCATTCAACTTAAAGTGAATGTCCAATACTTTCAAACTGTAAAGAGGGAGTGAAACTTGAAGACAAACGCTGAGTAGACTTATCCATGCTCACCTGGATGGTCAAAATGGATTCAAATCCTTGAGGCCCCATGTCATTGATTTATCTACTCTCTGTCAGTAAATTTAGTGGTCATAGATTTGTTGGATTTAAAAGATTCTTACTATGCAGAGAGAAAGGATGATTTATCAAGATATGTTTATTCAACCAGGGAAGTTCCATGGAGATTAAAGGCCTCGTTTATACGGAGACAATGCGGCAGTGAAATGCTATAGTTGGATGTCGGTTGCTACCCGCCGTTCATACAGAGACTGTGAGAGTTAAGATCCAGCCTGCAGAGAGAAACAGCTCATATACGCTGCTCAGCGCTCTTTCACTCCCGCGTGAAGGAAAAAGGTGTGAATTCTCTGTTGCTGATCTGACCCCCACCTCCCCGCACGTTCATTTGGACATGCGGAGTGGCCGATAACAAACGTAAACAACAATGGAGGCGGGTACACAAACTAGCTACGTGTGCTTCGAGCGCTACATGGAGGAGGATCCTACTCCTCCGTTCGTCCAAACAAAACTCTTGTTTCAGTTTCCATTATCGCAGCTGCTGTTAAAATGCAGAATGATGTTGGTGCATTTTTTCATGTCTTGCAGAG